GCTCTTTCTGCTGGCCTGGTTTCTTCTCCTCTGCTTCAGCTAGCACAGGCTTCCCTGCTGTTCCAGCAGCTCTAACTCTCCTAAGACGTTATTTTTACACTTCTCTTAAAATACAACGCTAAGAGAGGCTTCTTGACTATATTAACATTAGGAATCTAATCAGCAATCAGACAGCTCATAATTTTCTGATTAGCTCTGATTATACTCAATCTTTAGGAAAGGAAAAAGGAAAAAAAAAAAAAAAAGGAAAGAGAGAGAAAAAAAAGGAAAAAATATAAAAATATTCTCTGCTCCCCAATTCTCTTTGCAGGGCATAAAGCCATGGCAGCAGCAGTGCTGTAGTCTCTGCCCCAACAGGACACAGCCACAGTGATGCAGGAAGATGCCCAATAATCTGTGTCATCACACATCTTCCCTTGGTCCTCCTGGGCTCAGCCAGGATGTCGTCTCAAAGAAGGTGCAGCACAGGGAATGAAGAGCACAGCAGGAGCTAACAGAGCTGGAGGAGTACAGCTCCATGCACAGCATCTCGGCTCCCCTGAAAGTCAGGGGAGGAGGATGCTGGAGAGGAAGGAGGTGATCTGCCTGGCCTCAGCCAAAGGGAAGAACTGAAAGGAGGAGCTTCTCCTGGAGAAGAGGAGGAGGAAGCTCAAGAGTGTTGGATGGAAGATGAACTACTTTGTGGCACCCCACAGGGAGAGATCCTGAGGAGAAGTGCCTGCTGTGGGCACGTGATGAAACCTGGGGGCAAGCTGCTCCTCTGTGGGATGACAGGGATGGATCGGCTGGGGCCTGTGCCTGGGGCCTTGGAATGGCCTGGGATCTGGGACTGGAGCCCGTGGCTTGGAGTTGAAGCTGAGCCAGCCTCCACTCACACCAGACCCTGTTGAGGGGCTTCTCAGCAGACCTGCTCCCAGCTGCAGCAAGCAACACTGTGAAGCATGAGATTTAATTATTTGAAGTCATGGCCTGCATAGCTACAGGTGAAATAAATGCTCCAAAAATTATCCAGCTGGCTCCTTAGAGCAGCTGCTGTGCTGGCACTGCCTCACAGTGCCACATGACCAGCAGAAAAGCAAGCCCCACGCAGCAATCCCTGCAGCCCAGGAGCCACGTGGAAGAGCCACGAGGTGTCACCTGGGATCACAAAGCACCTTCATGCCTCAGTGACAAGCCCAACCATGGCAGCTGCACCCTGTGTGTAGTGGCAGGCCGTGGCCAGCCCCAAATCAAGTGGTGATGGGGGGACAGTCCCCAGAGGCTTGTTTCCAGCTCTGTTCTCACCTCCCATAGCATGCACTGCAAACCCACACAGACCTGATGGCAGCAGGTGGGGCTCTGCTATTAACCAAGTTCGTGTGGACGGGGCCTTCCCCCTCCCTGTGCCAGGAAAGTCTCCTCTTTACACTCCAAACCCTGTAATCACATCTGCAGAGCCCTCTTTTGTAAAGCAGCCTTGCAGATGTAATTAGTTTGAGGTGACCTCGGGAAAAAAAAAAAGTTCAAGTTTAAAAAGAAAATCTCTCCGGTTAATGCTATGCAAATTGCCAGAGAGGCAATCAGGCTGACTTTTAAACACTGGCCCCAGTCGGAATGGCTCACAAGACAGCCTCATTGTCTCTCTATCAATTTGCATCTCGTTACCCACAATGTGCCGTGCTGGAGGTAACCTTTTGGGGTGTGCAAGGCAGCAGCGTGCAGGCTGGGGACAGCTGGGGACCTGTGTTTACATGGCCCGCTGTGCCCGGGTGGCTGGCAGGGGCTGAGGCTGCAGCCCCGCTGCCTCTGGGCTGCAGAGCATTACTCTGCCTGGGCCCTGCTGCCTGCGCACAGTCCTCACCAAGCAGCAGCCGAGGTTGTTTCTTCATTTGGATGGAGCCACTCAGCCCTGAGCTCCACCATCCCACGGGCACTCCTAAGCTGCCAGTGCTACCCGTGTACCCACCAGCTCCACCTGCACCAGGGCAAGCTCACTCCCATCCTGCCTCCCCCCCGCCTGGAGGTGCTTCCCAGAATCCTCGTGCACTTCTTACGTCCTTGCCAACCCTGACTGCCGTTGGGAGATGGTGCAAAAATAGCTTTTTTCTCTAGGAAGGGATTTAAGGAGATGTCGCAAGCAGCGCACGCCAGCAGCACAACTCAGCCTTTTCCAAATGCTGTGCAGAAGGAACCGGTTTCCAACAAAACCTTCTGCTATTTTAAGCCTTCCCTGCAACATGAACAGCAATATCTGCATTCCCTAAACACCAAAGAGCAGAAACTTCTGCAAGTTACCTTGGGAGCGCTCCCATTTCTGAGTACCCTCTGCCAGGCAAGCGGCCCCGTGGTGAGAAGCTCTGTGTATTGCTTCGTGCTCTGCCGACGAGGCAGGGACCCTCCACCAACACGCCAAACCACCCCCACCACCCCGGCTGGAGGTGCCAAGGCAACAAAAGGCCTTTTAATAGACAGGAGAGCACCACTGTGCTGAAGAAAACCCGATCATTTAAAACCCTTCTGAATAATGGCACTGCCTCCCTGCTGCTCAAATCAGCCTCAGCATTTTGTTATTATGATAACTAAATACAGAAGATTTTAACAGCTGGAAACGCAGCAACAATATTTAAAAGAGTTTTTTAAATTGTTGGTATTTGATTCAATAATGGTAATGGGCTTTTTTTTTTCTTTTTTTTTTTTTTCCTTTTAAAGGAAAGGATTGCGCTCGGTGCCACATCAGGCTGCAAAGTCAGCTCCTGCCTCGCGATGGCAGGCACTTATTGCACTGCACAAACAGGTCCGGCTGTGCCAAAATCACAGCTCTCTGCTCGGACACCATGCTGGTGCCATGTTGCTGCCTCCTGAGCCTGGCTGGGACAAGGCTGGGACATTCTCAGCACAAGGCTGAGAAATGCTGCTCAGCGAGGCACGGCCGCAGTCTCCACAGCACTCTCCAGATGTCCCCAAGGCACAGCCAGCCTCCATCCTCCCTGCGGCCCCAGCAGTGTGCCTTCCATGGGCTGGGGAAGTCCAGATGGGGAGTCCTCCCTGCAATCCATCTGTAATGTGCCACCGAGGGATTAGAATAAGACTGCCAGTGTCAGCATAAATAAAAAAATATGACACAGTGTTCTGAGAATGTATTTTGCACTGTGTCATGCCAATTGCAGTAAGCCCGGCCGGCAGCAGCTCTCAGACAGCAGCGAGTGGCATGGTGAGTCCTGCTTCGTCCCATCCCAGGGATCCCCCTCTGTCTGACAGCGGTAACAGTACCCTTGAACTGGCTTTGGAAGTACCAGCAGAAACCAAGCAAGGAGAGCACAGGTGGCAAGCAGCCAGGCTGTGCTGAGGACACTGACAGCACTGCCATCATCCAGCATACTGCAAGACCAACCTCTCCAGGGCCAAATACACCCCAGTCCTGTGTTCACGCTCATCCCAAAATGTCAGCACCACCGCTCTCCGAGCCAGATGCATGCAGCAGCTCCTTCCCTAGCCCCTCGGGGCAACGCCACTTGAGTCCCCCTGGTTTTGGGGATGGGGACTCAGCAGCTCTGAAGCGAAGTGCACCCGTGCTGTCAGCCTGGCAGCATCCAACAGTAAGACAAGATGGGATAGAAGGCAGCTGGAATGAGAAGGATGTTGGGGACAAAACGAGAGCATGGGGTGAGGAGCAGGATAAATAGCAAGGGCAGGGAAAGTGGAGAGGAGGGGCTGCTGCTGGTGGGAGCCAAGTGCTGTTTAACGCCTCATTCAAAGCCCCGCTGCCCTTCACCCTGATGCCTATTTAATGTCATCCCATTCAGCGAGTGTCCCTATGATCTGGTAATTATCTTTTACTTACAAAAGAGCATCTCTGTGTCACAAGTACTCCTCTCTCTGGCTCTGCCACAGATCGATATCTCCTCAAGGCCTTTGCCATTGTTTGGGGGAATGGAATTGATTTCTGAGAAGAGCAAGGGGAGGACAAATATATAAATAAGTGCTGCACAGATGTGGCTCTGCGCAGCCCTTCTGAAGTCTGCAGAGGGGAGCACAGGGAAGGGCAAGGATCCCGTCGTGGATCATGCCCTGCCTGCTCTGCCTGCCCCTGCAGCACTGGCTGCCCACTGATTTCTTGCCCAGAGCACCACACCATTAGTCTACAGATTACAGAATCATAGAATATCCCAAATCGAAAGGTACCCATAAGGATCACTGAGTCCAACTGGCTCCACACAGGACCACTTAAAAATCAGACCACATGTCAGGGAGTGTTACCCAGATGCTTCTTGAACTCCAGCAAGCTCAGTACCATGACCACTGCTCTTGGGAACATGTTCCAGTGTCCAGCCACCCTCTGGTGGAGATCTGCTTCCTGATATCCAACCTGAACCTCCCCTGTCACAACTTCATGCCATTCTCTCAGATTCTATTGCTGTGAGCAGAGAGAAGAGATCAGCGCTTGTCCCTCTGCTTCCCTTGTAAGGAAGCCATAGTCTATGATGAGGTTTCTCCTCAGCCTCTTCTTCTCTACATTGAACAAACCTTCAGCCATTCCTCATAGACCTTTCCCTCTAAACTAGACCCTTCACCATTTTTGTAGCCCTCCTTTGGACACCCTCTCATAGTTTTATGTCCTTTTATACTGCGGTGCCCCAAATTGCACACAGCACTCAAAGTGAGGCTGCACCAGTGTAGCACAGAGCAGGGCAATCATTTCTCTCTCTGGCTAGCAATGCTATGTTTGATGCACCCCAGGGTACTGTAATGGCCTTTCTGGCTGCCTGGGCACACTGTTGACTCACATTCAGCTTGCTGTTGACTGAGACCCCCAGATCCCTCTCAACAGGGCTGCCCTCTAGCATCTCATCCCCTGGTCTGCATTTATAGACAAGGTTGACCCTTCCCAGGTGCAGAACCTGGCACTTGCTTTTGTTAAACTTCATGCAGTTGGTGATTGCCCAGCTCTCCAATTTGTCTACACGTCTCCGCATGGCCTCTCGATGGAGTCAACAGCTCCTCCCAATTTAATCTCATCAGCAAAAATAAAGGAATACTTCATGAATTTGTGTGTCATCCTTGCGCAGGGCCACGCTAATCTTCTCTGTACGTCTCCAAGCAAGGCCAGCCCCTCCTGGACAAGCACTTCCCAGACTGTTTTCAAAAAGCTGCCGGTGCCAAGTTCCCACAGCTTCCCCAGGCAATCTATTCCAGTGCTTAACTAGTCTTACACTGCCAAGTTTTTCTTAATATCAAAGGTAAATTTTTCCTGCTGCAATTTAAGATGATTACTTCCATACCATCTCCAGGGTGCACGGGGAATGGTTCATTACTTCCTCGTTCCCTGCAACAGGAACATTTTATGTATTTGAAGGCTGTTACTGTGTTTTACCTCAGCCTTCTCCTGACAAAACAATCCCATTACTCTGGTATCTCAAAAAGCCCCTTGCTCTTCGGTCCTCTGGTTGCTCTCTGTGTTTCTGTGTGTCTGCCATTTCTCTGCTCTGGAAGAACACTGCTGGCAGCAGGACCAGCACTGAAGGTGGTGCCCCCTCACCTGTGCCTGTCACATCAGATGGTGACTTGCCATCTCTTGGCAGTGCTGAGCCAAGCCAAGTCTGCAGTCCAGTAGAACCACTTCCATCTATTTCAACCTTCCCCATCACATCCTAATGCTTTGTTGTTCAAATGGGAGGAAAGGAAAAAAATTCTGAAAAGGTGCCACGAGGAAACCTGAGCAAAGCCTTTCTTCCTCTAAAAATGCATTTGTTCACCTCTGTGGACTCGGATACTGATGACTGTAAAGCACTGCTCAGCTGACGGTGTCTCCTGAGTCCTGAAAAGCAAACGCCTCTCAAAGCAAAGCTCTTCCCCGCAGCGAGTTCTTCAGCACAGAGCACAGGCCTGAGGGCTCTGTGCTTTGGAAAATGACTTCCAGGCAGGACTCAGATTTTGCACAAGCCCACATGCCTATTCCCAAGCAGATGGACTGATGGCCAGGGAGACGTCAGCTTGCAGCTGTACTGACCTGATCTGCTTTTACTTGGTCAGTCTGGAGAAGGAGAAATGAGAGAGGATGGGAAAGAGCACAAGGGGAAGGAGGAGGACGTCTTCCAGTGCACAGCACCAAAATCCAGGTGACAGTGGAGTGTGTCAAATGGGAGTGCATACAGAGTGAGAGGATGGCAATCCTCTACCGAGGGCAGACCTCCAGCAGTACAGGGCTGGATCAGCACGCAGGTAGCTTGGGAAGGAATTGATTCATTTGGGAGATCCAAGAGCTCATCAGCAGATGACATTCGGGGCAGGCACACACAAGGCGGTGCTTCTTGAGAGCAACAATTAGGACTCATCACGGGTGCTGATGGAGCTCAAAATGAACTGTAGCCACTCAAGGAAGAGATCGTGGCACGCTGGAGCACAAACATCTCAGTGGGAGTGATGGCCCAAAGATGCCAGTGTGTGCTCAGGAGCGGGCGGTAAATAAAGCTGTCGCATTAGGCAGCAGGCCTATACATCAGTGGGGCCCTCAGCTGTGACAGCACATGGTCCTGCTGGTGCTGGGTGGGGAGGAGAGAGGAGTGTGGCTGCTCGACACGGGCAGCAGCGGCAGTGGGAGAAGCACAGAGGATGCGATTCACTTGCAGGAAGCAGAGTTAAAAAGAAGCAGAAACGCCCCATAATGGAAAGGTGCCTCTGAGCTCAGCTATGGAAATGTTCAAATCCAAGAAACACTGCTCCCTGTGGAACTCAATGCCTTGAGATGCAGGGAACACGAGTTTTTCTTGTTTTTTTTTTTTAAGGAACAAAAATCAAATTAATCAGAGTATCATCGGTTATGCGAGCTGAGATCAAAGTACAGAGGAAGAGAAGTGCTATCACTCAAGGATTTGTACTTCCCAAGTAACTGCTTAGGATTAGAAAGAAATTTCAATAATCTGCCAGCTAAGTATGCGCTGCAAGAGTAATAATCCCTCTCTCCAAACATCTGCTATCAACTACTAATGGGGATGGTAAGAAGCCAGGTGGATCATAAACCAGACCCGATCTGAGCACAACCACAAAAGTGGGCTGTGCAAAGTCACCGCTGCGGGGTTATCCCGTCACACTGCTGCAGGAGCACAGAGCCTCATCCTGGAGCTCCACTGAACCACCAAGCAGCGAGTCCTGAGGGCTCTCGTGCTATTGATTTTGATATTGCGTGCTGTAAACATTTCTAGCTGCATCCTACAATCATGCAATACATATACAAACAGGAGGAGAAATGCATGCAGCACCTCAGCTGTGGTTCTATGGTTTTGCAGCATGAATTTGAGCTGCACCTTGATGTACCATCAAACTCAAGCCATCAGAATTGGCACAAACCTCACTGCTGCTCCCCTTTCTTCCTGTCTCTGGTATTTGAAACATTCCGGGCTCGGCTCGGTGCATCACAGCACGACTTGAAGGTGCTGGCTGCTCTCACCCAATCCCCAGCACTATGCCCAGGGGATCAGATACGCAGCAGGCGCACTGCGCCCAGACAGCTCCACACAGCAGCCGGACAAGGTGAGCAATACAGGCACAGCAGCAAGAGGGAGAAGAATGCCACGCTTAAGGAGGATCAGAGGGAGAGGATTATAGCACTGTGGTATCCAGCATGAACTCACACTGAAAGGGTAGCAGTGGTGTTAGAGATGGGTGAAAGATATCGGTGGCGTTCAGAGGAAAGTGAGTCACGTTTTTATTCCCCATCCTCTCCCCAGAAGGTAAACCGAGGTAAGCCAGGGGCTGGGGCCAGCACCTGCCTTGTTCCAAGCCTTGCTCTACAAGTGCAGGGTCAGCACAACACACATAGGAAAGAAAACACTGGCAGCTCTCTGTGTGGTGGCGTGGGGTGGCCATGATTGCTGTGCAGTTTGCAAACGGTGCATGTTTTCCTCGCAGTGCTTACGGCGAGCTGCAGCTCGGTGCTGTGCCATGGAGCAGATAATTGCAGCAGAGTTAGCTCCTGTCTGGGCACTTTAACCTTGCCGCTCACCCACAGCAGAGCAGCGGTTTGCAGCCCAGCTCAGGAGCATTGAGGGCAATAAACGGGGCGAGGGGAGGGGGAAGGATGCACTACGCTGCTACGATTCTGCAGAGGTTTCTGTTTTCTTTCTTGTTATCCTAATAACCCTTTTATGGAGCACGTTGTTGGCAGAGCCCTGTGCTGAGGCAGCCGGTTCTGTGTAGGCACAAGACAATTTGCAAAAGCAATAAACTGACATTCAGCTGAAGAAGCCTGCTGGAAAGATGAGCCATCAGCAAATCCCTACACACACATGGCCTTAAAGACACACCGGGTTCATAGTGCACTTAAAAGAATACAGTGACCCAAACTGAACAGGGCCATGCCATTGGTCTGAGCAGCACACCCCAGCAGCCAGGCTGCGGACTGAAAATGAGAAATAGGTCTGAAGAAAGGAGAAAGGCACCCAAGCATTATTTGACCTTAATAGTTACATACATCTCAGTTCTTCACCAGGACTCGGCTGGCTTCAGGGGAGGCACGCACAGAATTCAGCCCGCAAAGCCACAGACCTGGTGCTCTGAAGGACAGTCATCAGCGAGGTGTAAAGAAGAGCAAAATTTATGGCATTCGGGGCTGGGCTGGCTGGAGAAATCAAGTCAGAGCAAATGGAGACACATCACCAGGGCAGAGCCTGCTGCTGCGGCTTCAGCCAATTGCTCTGCACATGGCTAACCCTGCTCGCATTAGAACTGGAGCTGAGGGCTGTTACTGGGAGAGCTGCTTTCCTCCCCAGCATCCCTTGGCATCCCAGCCCAGCCCTGCCAGCCTCCACTTTCCATCCCTTGGCTCAGCCCCTTGCCATTAAGAAGTCCAGCAGGGCCCGGCCCAGGTAAGTGTGAGATTCTGCCCCTTCAGCTGCCGAGCAAAGTTTTAATTTCTGTGGCCAACTTCAGAAAAAGAGAAACCCCACTGCTGCCCCACAGCAGCCGCTGGTGCCACGCACTCTTGCTCTTACCCACTTCTCCAGATCAGGGCGCCCTTCTGGGGCACAAGCTTTTTGGGGACAGGCAGGGTTGAGGTTCTTTTCCACATTTCCTGTCCCTTTTATTTAAAAAACACTTTATGCAGCTGTCAGAGCCAAAATGAGAATTTCTTTTTTTTTTTTTTTTTTTTTTTTTTTTTTTAGCAGTCTTTGAAATAAGGATGCTATGTGGGATCAATTTTTTATGGCAGTAAAGTAAAGGGGGAAAATAGCAGCAATTTTCTCTTTTGAACATGGCCTATTTAATGGCATGGATGTCACGGTGCAGCTTTACCCAGAGAGAGGGAGAAAAAGCCACAAAATGGTACTGTGGTCAATCAAAGTCTCCTGCACTGCAATCTGCTCCCCACCTCCTGCCGCCAGCCCAGATTCCCACCGCTCCTCCCAACCTCCCTGCCCAGCTCTCCCAAGGGAGCAGCAGCCAATGCCAAGTACTCGGCACCAGGTCCCGGGGCAGCAGCAGGAACGCCTCGCTGGGAATCCAAAGCACGCACCAGAAGACTTCATTTCCCCTATAAACCTCCCCTACGAACACAGAGGTTGGAGTTTGGAGCACCCCAGACCCAGTGGCAGCAAGGAGCACTGGGAGTGATGCACACAGGCATCCCAGGCAGCGCCATGCCTGGGAGAGAATTAGCAATTCCCAACTACGTAATGTTGTCCCGGTGGGACCATAAACACCAACATCTGTCAGAAGGGCTGCGCCTATCAAAGTGCCGAGAAAAACATTTCTCTTCTCATTCAGTTCACTGCTAAACTGGAAACAGCCCCTGGGGAGCACCCAGCGGCGGAGGCCACATCCATCTCAGTGGGCAAAAGCTATTCGCCACAGCAGGAGAGCATCCCGGCCATGCAGCGATCGCTCACTCCAATTAACAAATCATTTCATTTAGGTACGGCGAAAATCTGTAACTGAGTGATGGCGTGCCCCCAAAAGGCACCAGGCACTGAGCAGAGGATTTTGTCAGGCCCCACTCAGAGCGCACCCTTGTTGCAGTGCCCAGATCTGCTCCCTCTCTCAATTTGAGGATGATCTGGAAAAGTTGCCATTCAAAACTCGGCTGAGGATCTGCCTGGTGCTCAGCCTGGCACTGCAGCTCCCTGCTGGGC